ACTTTTTTTTTTTTTTTTTTTTTTTAATTTTTATGTTATTTATTCAAAATAGTTATGTTATAAATTGGACTATATTATTATGTTATAAATTATTATGTTACATTTTAGACTTGATTATGTTATAAATTGGACGTTTATCGTGTTAGGAGTTACAAATTATTATGTTACATGTTGATTATAATATAAATTGGACGTTTAGATATTATCGTGTTACGAGTTAGAAATTATTATATTACATATTAGTTTTAGTTATGTTATAAATTGACGTTAGATAGTAGCGTGTTAAGAGTTACAAATTATTGTGTTACATGTTTATTATAATATAAATTGGACGTTAGATATTATCGTGATCGTGTTAGGAGTTACAAATTATATTAATTGAACGTTAGATAATATCATGTTACGAGTTACAAATTATTATGTTACATCGTAGAATTAATTATCTTAATTTAACATGTTCTAAAAATATAAATATTGTACTATATAGCAGGAGTCATGGGAAGATTTTGGAGGAGATGGTGTTGATTACAGTCTGCGTTTCGATACATGTACATTTTATAATAGTGCTCAGGAGGCTATTGAAGCTGCAAAACACCAGGCAATGCTGAATGGTTTCCTATTAATTATTTCGAGCCACAAAAAGAAAACGGTCAGACTTTTGAAGTGCCATAGAGGCGAACGGTACAGAGGCACAGGCGGAAATTCTAGAAGGATAAAAACGAATAAGTGCGGCTGCAATTTTGAGATCAAAGTAAAAAAGGTGTCCAGCGTTCCATATTGGAGGATCTGTAGATGTAGCAATGAAGAGAAAGGCTACCATAACCATGCATTTGCTGTGTATCCTGAGGGTCATAGCCAGTTGAGCGGTCTCAGCGCTTCATCTAAGAGAATTGTTCGTGACATGACGGACGCTCAGGTGGCCCCGAAAAAAATTATGGCCGCGTTGAAGGAAAAGAATCCGGGAGACAACGTTCATGTGCGGCAGGTATATATATTTATATCTTGTAATATATGTTTTAATTAAATTTTTTTAATTAATTATGATAATTAGTAATTTTTTATATGTAAAAGTTATTGTAATAATTAATAAATTTTATTATATTTACTAATGTATTATTATTGTGATAGTTAATTATTTTTTTATCAAATTAATCGCATTAATATACTTTTTTATTTATTAATATAATAAAATTTTTGTTTTAAATTATAATAATCATTATAATTAACGCTAATCGGTGACAGGTATATAACTTTAGAGATAAGCTGCGGAGAGAGAGTTCCGACGGTAGAGACGTTCCTACTCAGCTTATGCATTTNGTTCCGACGGTAGAGACGTTCCTTCTCAGCTTATGCATTTGGCCGTGAGCAGCGAGTATACAGTTTATGTAGAATCCGATCCGAACACGAAAGTGTTGACGCATATATTCATGGCCCATCCTGCGTCGATCAATCTATTCCGGACATATCACTGGTATGTCGGTATAGATTGCACGTATAAAACCAACAAGTATGTTACTTTATAAATACTTTATTAGTATGAATCTTAAAAGTGTTGACGCATATATTTATGTGCTTATATTTTTTGTCATCTTGGTCACATTTGCACAGGTACAAGATGCCGTTGGTCGAGATGATTGGGATGACGCCGTGCAACCAGAACTTCCTAATTGCGTATGCCCTCATCAGGGACGAGAAAGAGACCAGTTACGACTGGGTTCTAGAGAAGTTGAGACTACTGATAGGCCAAAGCGTATATCCTTATGTTGTTGTCAGTGACAGAGAGTTGGGTCTACTCACTCCTATTCAGA